CACATGTGGAACTCACGCACACATGGACCACACGCAGTCGCAATGCAAATAGCAAAAAAAAAAAAAAATAAAGTAAAAGTGGTCTGCGAAACGGACAGGACAACGCCAAAGGATATGCCCAGAGACATATATAACATACATATATACATATGTGCATAAATACCAGTATATATTTTCTGGGGTATCCATGCAAATAAGCCTCCCGCAGCAAAACCCAACTTCGTTTTGGCGTTTATCGAGTCAGGACTTGGAAATTGGCTGCCATTTTGATCTACCCCATCCACAATGGCCCAGTCCCCTGGCCAATCTAGCCCAAGAAAACCAAGTGACACCGCAAATAATTGTATCAAAATATTGACTAGATCTTCCGACTGTATCTTCGAACTGAAGCTCTAACCAGAGATGATTCGCAGGGGCAAAAATGATCAGACCCACAAAGTTTTGGTGGGAAAGAAGTAGGGAAGAATTATAGTAAAAATTGTCTTTTGGATTATTATTATTTTTCATTCTTGCACCACCATAAACCCATTATTATAACAGGTGTTTTTCAGTATAACCGCGAAAAATAATACTATTTGTAAATGTTCCTTGCACGTCCATCGATCTTCTTTACTTAAAACAAACAAAATTTACCGGATCACTCGTATCCTTCTCTCCTGGTCTCTTCTGGGTTAATGGAATACTTACATTAATAAATATATAGATAAATATTTAGAGATAAATAGAAAAATTGGCTATATGCAAGGAATAGCAGAAAAACTGAACAAAACTTTGCATTCACTATGAATTATGACTATGAGAAGATCCTCAAAATAAAGTTTATTCGCTGTATAAATTCCCCACAAGAGAATGGACACATTTCAGACTATAAAGTCCGAATAAAAACTCTGATACTGTGTCAAAATTACACGTGCCATCGATTTTCAAAAGAAGTTCTGAAAAACGCCACTAAAGATCTTTAAATTATTGATATTCTTCCAACAACACATTCCTACAGATCACATAAGTCCAGCGCCCCCCCTTGGCAGCCTCTGCTCCAAACCGCAACCCCAACTGTTGGCCTAACCATCGCATCCGCCCCGCCTTCTCCTCTAAGGACGCAATCAGAGCTCGAACCAGTCCAGAGCAGGCGGCCACATCAGGCCCTGGGACCAGGGACCAGGCACAAGGCACCAGGCCAGGGCTGATCTCTGGGACAAAATATTAGTTCTGTCAAAATAAATTTCTTTGAGTAATGTAATCCCATTTTGTGGTCTTCACCCACTGGGTGGGTGGGCAGGTTGGGCGGAGTGGCGCTATTTGGGGGAGTTGGACTCATTTTTTCCCCCCCTCTCCAAACACCACTCCCCCGCCCTCATTCTCGCTCTGCCCCTCAGACCACCCTCATGGCCACATATCGCATCAGGCAGAATATGAACGCGATAAATCTGTTCGTGATTGTTTTTTTTCTTTCTTTTGCCCCACACACACATGTGGGTGGTGGTGGTGCGGGTAGATGGGTGGTTGGGAGGTGTCCAACTCTGTTTGCGGTGTGTGAAAAAAATGGCAACGGAATTCGCTAATCCCAAGGACCAGACCAGACCAGACCAAACCAGAGCAGGCCAGGCCTTGACTTCAGGCTCAGATTGAGCTTCAGCTGTCCTTTATTACACTATTTCCTAGGCTCAGGCCCCAAGATTGATATACATATATGCAGGAGAGGAAGAGGATTGCTTAAGGGGTAGGGGCATGCGGTCTGGGTAGAATGGCAATCGGACGAAGAGTGAGTGTGTGGCAGAAGGAGCAGCGGCAGAGGCAGTGGCAAGGGCAGTGGCAGTGGCAGAGGCAGCGAAGTACGAAGTCGATTACGGACACATGTATTGTCGTTTCACGCACATGAGAAGACGTGACCAGGTGGGTGGCTTTCCAGTCAACCACCCACACCCACATCTCCTCCCCCTCAGAGGAAGTGTGTGTGTGTGTGTGTGTGAGTGTATGTGTGCCTTGGTCGCTGGATGATGACAATATCTCCTGACAGCTTTTGCGGCCGCCTGTGATTGCCAAAAATGAACCACGATGACGGGGAACAGAACACGAAATTGCAAAAAAAAAAAACCAACATTCCCAGCCGAAGCTTTAGATACCCTGACCCTGGTACATCGATTCCATTGGATCTATGGTGTTTAGGAGATATTTAAACGCATAAACAGATCATACAGATATACGGATGTTGCATCCAATGCCATTGTGCTCTGTCATCTCTCAAATAAATGAGTCTATCAGTATTTCTACCAGTTTCATAATAGATTTTTGCTTGGTAATCCTTTCGAGCTGTACAATTCCATATAATTTTGATGGAAACAAATATCGAACTTTATTAATTCTTATCAATTATATTTCGAAGAATCTTCCCTGGCATTCGAAGTCACCCATCTGGAATTATCAGTGTTAGTACGCCCTCTCTTACCGATGCGCATAGGAAGCATAGGCTACATGGCTACAGGCTACAGGCTCGGTTCTCCTCACCACAAACGATTGGGCATAATCGTATTACCCTCTGTAAGGGTAAGCACAAAAAAAAAAAAGTATAAAAAATGAAACCCTGAAATGTAATACACTCAAAGACACACGCACGCACCATGAGCCATATGAGTTGTGATTCGCGGGGCAGGACATTGATGAGGCCAAATTTCTGTGATTCGTCATCCAAATAGGTTTTTGCCCTAACACACACACTCCCACCCACGCACAGACACAGATATATACGGGTGTAAAATTACCAAGCATTACACACACGCATACTCGTACATTTCTAGGAGGGGGGAAATATCTCGGCCATTGGCAAGCTAATGGCCAAGAAAATGCCATGCAGCTGCTGCAGATTTCATCCGCAGAAAAACAGAAATATTTCACGTTCCATTTCCCTCTGTGCTTCACCCACTCGCGGATACAATGATAGGTTTTTTTAATGATATTAATTACTGCACCTTCAAATCGCACGATTGCATTCTGCAATCTAGCTATTAAACTCTTAAAATGCAGCTACTAGCAGTAGGCCCTTGTACATACCAACAATATTATATCATAGTTAAGATAAAAATGATTTATAATAATAATTGACATATTCATTTAACAGAAATAAACGCCACTCGCCGCTAGGTGGCCAGAGGGACCATGAACAGATAGGGTTTAATTCGAGTCCAATAAGAATTTGGCGGAAAACGACGCTAGATGGCTACAAGATGGTTCATGAATATGATGAGAGTCATACGACTCTCCATTGAATTCGCCAGAAAAGAGCAGATGAATACCTCAAAGATGTCTGTCCTAATCGTATGATTATCGTTTGTTGAAATTTAAAGTTCAACCAACAAAAGAACGAACCTTTAGGTGATTTAAAGCCTCTTCATGCATCAAGAAGTATGTTTTTTTTTTAAGTTAAATTGAGTTTTTTTGTATACTCAAAGAGTATACTATACCCGTATATTAGAGTTGTGGTGAAAGTTAATGTGTTTAACACCAAGATGGATGCGTTTCCGACCCCATGGAGTATATACATACATATATTCTTGATCATCATCAATAGCCGATTCGATATAGCCATGTCCGTCTCTCCGTCCGTTCTCCGAGACTATAAGAGTTAGAGCAACCAAATTTTGTATCCTGACTCCTGTGAGTCCTTTTGCCTCCACAAAGGACGAAAATACATATGTGGCATCCACAATTTTGAAGATACGGGAAAACCAAAAACACAGAATCATAGAAAATGACTATATCTACCAGATTGCCGATCGCTTTGGTTTTGATCAGATCATTTTTATAGCCAGAAGGCACAAATCAAAGTGCATTAGGCATGGAACGTACGGAACCAACAAGTGACATCTGGAGATGATGAAATAAGGTTAAGGAAACTTTAGAAATAATCTCAGGACTGCCACTAAAGATCTTCGGCAAACCAACTTCTAGCTGATTATCATAATGAAGAGAAACATTCGATATTCGATTCGATTGAGAGCAATTCGTCCTCACTGACGCTCGTTGATGAAACATTCTTTCATATTTGTTTGGCCAACCAGGAACCAAGGGCCAATCAAGGACCAACTAAGGACAGCGTACTGTCTAGTACATCTATAATTTTTGAATTTCATTATGTTTCAATTGTCGCGGCACTGATACGAGCTTTTTAGCGGTGATGGCTGTGTGCGGTGTGGGATTAGGGATATACCTACTGGGGGGGGGGGGGGGACTGTTTCTTGATACCGGTATTTTTCATCATCGATAATGTCACCAGTAAAAATCATGACCATGAAGCGTTCTACGTCTTCTAATGATCGTTAGGTTCACTTTCTTCTACCAGGTATCGTTGCATGCCGAGCATTTGTACATTTTTGAACCTTCAAATGAATATCTAGGTCGACAGTGAACTTCAGTATTTAATGCTTTGAAAGGATCGTGTTCGAAAAATACTCATTCTTATCGAAATGGGACTCCATCGTATTTGATGGATACATCAGTTAGTTTCGCATAGCTGGTTCATCGTGTGGTCAGATCATTCCAGACAGAATAGCAGATTCACGAAGAACCGTAAGCTGATATTTCTCCTCCAGCTTGTGTACCTGATCCAAGAATTCTGTCTCCATGTTCAGATTCTCCAATTGCTGATTTTTAGGCACAAAAATTATATTTTGAATTGGTAGTGAAAGTGCCTTAACCATGCTCCTGTAAGCCGGAATGTACTCGCAATCAGAATTTAGTTTCCTGCCAAATTCTGGACCCATGTCGGCTCCTGCATTGCAAGACTCCTACTATCGTCTCTCTTACTCTTCAAGAAATGTTCATTATTTTAATCCAGAAATAAATCTCCATGTGGAAGAACAGTGAACAGCTGATCATCATCAGTCGTAAGCTCATTTTAGTAACTCCCAGGAATCCTGTCTCCGAAAGAGCTGCAGATGTTCCCAAAGTTGTAGCAAAGGATTACCGCAATTGAAAGAAAAAACATAACAAACTCCGAGAGAACATTGAAGAACATTATTAGTGTTAGATTTTATTTTGGACCTATTATAAACAATTAATTAAATGTTCCATCATTTCTTGGTGGTAGTCAAGGCGGAGTGAAACAAAAAAAAAGGGGAGGTGTTTTAAGACTAAATGCACTGAAATGTGTATTGTAATTTGAATTGCGCTCAACTGGGTTCCAAGGAGAACCGGGGAGGCATGATATCGAACGAATACGATGCGAATGTAGCGTAACATCTAAGTAGTATATCTTGTAAATAAACAACGCTAGAAGGCCGTTGAGGCCACACCCAGTTTTTCCATGATCATAATAGCGGGATGTAGCCGCCTCCGTTGCGGATACAGGGGTTCCTGCTGAAGATTGCAAGCGATTCGACTTGCGTAAGGGCATTGGTAACGGTTTGGGTTTGGGCTGCGTATTGAAAGTATAAGTGGGGCAACAGTGACTACTACGATAAGAGCAATGAGGAGGATAGGTGGTGGTGCTGCCGGTGCCGGTGCCGGTGGCAATCAGGTGAGCTTTGATCGCTTCTTGGCAATCGCATCCTCGACGGCACGCAGCTGCTTAAGCAGCTCTTCCCTTCTTGAATGCTTGCCGCCGCCATCCTTATCCGTGTCCTTGTCCTTATCCTTATCCTTATCCTTTTCCTTGATCTTATCCTTGATGGGTGAATGACCATGCTTGTCCGGTTCGCCTGAGTGGATTGGCGATGCCAGTGCGGATACCCCCACCATGGTCGATGGCTTCTTAATCTCAATGGAAATCGGCGAACGCTTTTTGGTCGCTTGTTCAGCGGCTATTCAAATGAAAATGAGAAAAAAAACATGATGCAAATTCTTAATTTTACTTTGAGAAACATGCAAGTGGTGGAGACTTACGCTTTTTAATTAATTTACGCTCATTAAGCGCCTTGTCTGTGGCTCGTATTCTCTTCTGCGGTGACTCCAACGATGTGGTCGACGATGAAGATCCCGATTCCGAATCTGAATAAGAGGTATCCGATGAATCTATAGCCCAAAAGGAAACATATGTACCCGAATAAGTTTATCGTTTATAGATATAGATATAGCTATTGCTATTACCTGATTCAGATGAGGTGGAGCTGCGACCTCGCCTCCTTTTGTCGAACTTCTTGGGCGAAGGCGAAGATACCTTCTTCCGCTTCGAGGCGGGACTGGTGCGCTTTTCCAGGCCAGCGGCTCTCTTGTAGGAGGGTGAGGGGCTTGCCTCTGTGGATGGAAATAGAGATTAGCATTCGAATAATGATACCCAAGAATATCCAAAGGATATCCCCTACTTACTTGTCGAGTTTCGGCGTCGACGCGGTATCTGGCTGGGCGAACGCACCGCTCGTCCTGCCGGTGGCCGCCTGGCAGAGGCAGGCACCTTGTGCGAGCCACCGCCACCGCCACCACCGGCGCCGTAGCCGGCGCCGCCGCGTCGCTTGTGGTCCGAGGCACTGCTGGAGCGAGACGAATCCGTGCTGGAGTCGCTCTGAGAACTGTTTGAACTGGAATATGATGTGTTGGATGTGTAGCTCCGGCGGTCACGTCTGCGACGATCGTCCCGCTCGTACGAGCCACGTCCCATCGATTTGGATCTCATCCAGGGATCACTCCACTCATCGCCCCTGCCACTCGCGGACTCCACACGCTGGACGATCACCTCCCGTGCAGGACGCAGACGTCGATCATCTTCGTAGTGTGGCATTCGGTGTGGTGGTAGCTCGCGATATCTGGTCATCCTGCCATACGCATCCACATCCTCATACGGCATCGCCATATACTGTGGCCGGCCGTAACGCTCCGGCGCCGGCGGACCGTACATTGGGTACTGCAAGGGGAAGAGAGCGCGGGAATTAGCATGACTGCCAGTAGATGATGCTGGTAGATGCATGGGTAGTGGAAGTGCAAGTTGCTGCTCACGCACCGGTGCTGGTGACGGTGAGCCGGACGGGCTGCTGTTGTTCCCCCGTTCCTTAAGGTAGTACGGATCCTTCTCAAGCTCGTCGGGCGAGAGGGTCAGGTTCATTTTCTTGTCCTCAAAGTCCATATCCTGCTCCTTCCTTTTGTTCGCTTTCCGCATCATCTCCTTGGCTGTTCGCAGTCCCCGCTCCCAGGCATTCTCCACCACCACGGGCCCATCCGGCAACAGGACAGGCCTCGCCTCGTGATGGTTTCCATACATGCTCGGCGCATGATGCACCGGCGGCGGTCGATGATGCAACGGCGGCCTCTCATTCCGATAGTCATGATAGTCGGCCGGCGATGCGGGATGTGGGGCATATGCACTGACTGGTCGCGGGGCAGAGACACCGCTACTACCGCCGCCGCCTCCGCCACCGCCAGCACCAACGCTACCAACGCCACCCCCGCCGCCAACACCACCGCTGCCGCCCTGCATGGGCACGGATCGAACGAGACCCTCGAACATTGTGTAATTGCCCTTGTCGGTGACACCTGGATGCAGGAAGCGACAGCTCATGCCCCAGGTGCACTGGCCGCGCGTATAAAACCTACAGATAGGCTTCGGTTCTGTCTCCTCGGGCCGCTTCTCATCCTCATCGGACACCTCGCCCTCCTCCAGCTCCTCCTCGTCCTTTTTCTTTTTGGCAGCAGCTGCAATTTCTGCGGCGCTTTCAACCTCCAGTACGCCATTTTTATCGTCATCGCCAACAACGCCGCCTTCTTCGATATCCTTCTCGCCGCCTTCCACTTCGCCATCGTCATCGTCCGAGTGTCGATTGGATGTGGACGTGGGTGACGATGAGGCCCCCTTTACTGTAGTGTTTGTTTGATTGGCTTTTGCATCGGCATTGCCCTGGTCCCTGTCTCTGGCTATGTCCGGACACTCGCCCTCCTCCGCCTCAAAATCGAGAGCATCGTCATCGTGTGTCTTGACAAGATCCTCCTCCTGCAGACCCGTCGATGGCAGAGCTTCTCTGCCATTAGTGCTGTCCTCAGTCTGGAAGAAAAAGTCAAAAGATTAGACCAGGAAAAAGGGGCAGAGCGGTAAATCCATCTCACATTTGATTCTGTGGGTGATCCTCGAATCTCCTGTGGACTGTTTATCCGTGGAGCCTTGCCGTTCAGCTTCCCACCGGCTGCGCCATCCTCCTCATAATCGCCCAGACCTGGCAGTGTGTCATTGGAAATGGCCCCGTCATCATCATCTACATCGGGATGGAGTGAGTTCTTCGACGACGCCCGCTTCTCGTCTGTGTCAATTTCACTCACATCACTCAAATCCTCGTGGCTAATGTTGAGATCCACAGCCGCCTGGTTGTACAGCTGCGGACTGTTGCTGCGGCTTCTAACCGAGGAGAGAAGCGAGTTCTGCGGTGATTTGGTGGCGGCATTCGGTGATCCAACACTGCCCCCCGCCGTCGGTGGTACTGAGTCGGGCCGCGAGTCGGGTCTCGAGTCGGTGTTGGTGGTCTCCTCTCGGTCACGCGGCCGATCGATCACTCCCCGATCTGGTTCTGGGTCCGCTTCGTCCTCGCTGCCGGAACTGCTGCTACTGCTGCTATCACTGACGCTACCCGAACTGCTGCTTGAGCTCTTGTTCTGCAACTTTGACCTTTGGCTGCGGTTCGAGCTGGAACTTGAGTTGGACGAGGAGCTGCTGGTGGAGTCCGCCCGCCGGGATCTGTTCATTGCAGCAGCGGTGGCGGCGACTGCGACGGCGATGGATGTCATATCCGCCGCATGGCTAGACGCGACCTCGTCCGCACCGCCGCCCGTATCCTTTACGGGTGAGTTCGAGCGGGACTCGCTTGAGTTGGACGGGTTCGTGCTGGCTCGTGAGTCATCCGACTCCATGGTGTGCATGGGCTAGCCTTATCCCTTGTGGGGCAGCAGCAGCTCCGTTCGCTGTGTTCCTGGAGGTGCAGAGACGAGAAGGGGGTTACTGGAGGTCAATCGGGGAAAACTTTCGTACACAGTTTATCCATGTATATATGATCGATAACCTTAATCGTCAAGTCGATAAGCCAACCGTCGGACTGTGGGCCGACGCACAAAATGGAGCATAATGGAAGGAAGACAATGGTCTGCGAGCAAAGACTGGGAGCAATGCCAAGATTTTGCATCAGCTACCGAAAAGCTGTCCTATGGCGTTCTATGGATTTTTCGTGGCCACCCGTGGACAGAAGTCGCGCGCAGGGTAAAAAGTACACAGTCTTTGGCGATACGCAAAAGTCGGTCCCAAGAAAGTAAAAGCAAAATGCATTGCTTGGGCATGACACTGCAAACTGATGCAAAAGCGAATGGGGGAAATCGAAGTGCTCAATACTAGAATAACAAATTATATTCCTTGTATTTGGCCAAAGACTGTGCATTTGTTGAAGGATTCTGGGACCGACTCACCTGCCCAAGGCATTGGACTGAACAGACGAACCAAGGAGGCAGCGGGCCGCAGTCAGAGACGAAAGACAGGGAAGAATTGGAGTACCAGTATCCCGCACACTCGTACCACGAAGCGTCGAATAAAAACTAAAATTGAATTTGTTCCTGATGCAATATCTTGCTATTTTAAAGTCTTTGCTGCTTAGCCATCGTAATCGATGATTTGTTGGTTGCCCAGAAGGGACGCAGAACAGACAGTAATCCCCTAGGGATATCGATTTATTCAGGATACAGATATCCATCATTCTAACGGAAACGACAATGATGAGGGTGACCAAAGCAGAACCAAGGACGAGGCCAAGGTCAGGGTCACCACCGTTGAACAGACACCACCCAACAAATATCGATGCGCTCTCGACTACTTAATGAATATCGATTCCCAAGAATGTGCTTGGTGGATCGGTTGCTGTCGAATGTGGTGCTGGTGGTGGCGATGGTTGTGGTGAGGGGTTTTTATTTCTTGGGGGTAAAGGGGGATATAGTTTTTCGTACATTTTTGGTTTTTTGGTTTTTTTTTTTTTTTTTTTTTTTACGTTTTTGTTGAATTCTTACCTTCATTTCGCTTTTAATTTGGTTTATGTTTATCTTTTCTTTCATTTTCATTTCGATATTAATTTGTTGATGTGTATGTGTGTTCTGTGTACCGCTTCTTTCGTTTGTTCTTCGTTTTTCTCGAGACTTTTCGCGAACGTGAGATACGGAACATTGAGACGGATATTTGAGTGAGAGAGAGAGCAAGGGCAAAGCAGCAGCGACCCGTACGGCTACGGGGGGAAACAACGGGTAAAGGAATACTTTACTTTCAATAAAGTCAGAAAAATACAGCCTTTTGCTCTCTTCCCGCTCCAATGAAAGTACACACACACATACACTCGACTCGACACTCGACTCACACTCTCCCATACATATACATTATGGCATGTGGGAGAGACACTACGAGACACAGACACTGTTACTGTTAACACAGAGAGATAAAGTGTGAGAGAGATAGAGAGTTTAACTTAACTGCCGGACTTTTTTCGCACTTTTCGCGACCGACGAACAGACAGAGAAGAGTCTGCTCAAAAGAAAGGGGTCCATTAAGTGTTTACTTTGCACTTAATATTTTACTTTTTCTCAAATATACTATTTACTTTGCTATTTTTGCATAAACCACTTTTCACATACGCAGTTGACTTGAGTTTTATTTGATTATTATTTTTTTTTTTGGGTGGGAAAAATAGAATACTTGAAAAGAAATGAATTTGTTGGTTGCTTTTCGTTGCAATATGTACAATATTGTTGTTGCTGCTTACCTATGGATGGGGACGAATGGGATGAGAGGTGCGGTCGCGGGCACGGACACGCAAGAGTGCCACCAGATCGGCGCCTCTTTCAGCACCGCCACCGGGAATCAATCGTTTTCGTCGATTTCTTCAATCTGTCTGCCCGACTGCCAGACTGTCGTCTGCCTGTCTGCGCGTCGCTTTCGCCTTCAATGTGTGCGCTGCTTCTGGCTGTCCTATGGCTGTGCTGTGTGTCGGATGTCGGGGGCGTTTGGCAATGGGGTTTCTACCCACTGTCCTTGCGCAATTTTAAGATATTGCTGCAGCTTTATTATCACTTTTACCTGAATTAGTTAGCACGTTGTCTTGGTGTTCTTACGGGCAGCCGAGAATATGTTATTCCAATTTCTTCGTCACCAAAGCCGCATTACCGAAAATATGGCCGCATTACCAGTGTGACAGCTTATATTTCGATAAAAATATACCGTCCAGAAATATACCGGAAATATACCAAAATATATCGTCTGATTAAAAAATATTCCCTTAATATAGCGACGAATTATTTAAGTTCCATCATACATATTCCTCGTTTTTTGATATTCTGTCGAATATTACAAGCTAGATATAACCTTCAGCCCTGCCCAAATAAATTTATCCGATTAATGATTAGATTTTCTACTTGACTGGCTTGTTTTAAATACTGCCTTTTATTTGATTTTGTCTAAAAAAAAAAGGTTTTAGCAAAAAAGATCAAAAATATAAAACGTATTCCGTTGTGTAATAGCTGGCTAACTTAGACTCCCAGATCTGCCCACATAATTTTATGCCATTGATTTTCTAAATGACTGGCTAATTTTAGGTAATCCCTTTTCTGTAATTGTGTTTAAACTAGGGTTTAAGCAAAAACATTAAAGAATAAAACGTAAGTGGGCATGAAAAGTTATGTCATTCAAACACTTGTTCCTTGTCAACCGGTGGTCGTATACCATATTTCTTTTGGTAAATGTTAAAACTCAGTTTTCCAATGGATTATATAACTTATATAACTCGATCCCAATGCCTATTCGTGGTCTTTGTAAGTAGAAGATATAAATAAAAAGTTGAGCAAACTATCGTTGCATTTATTAGAGACTGGTATGACAAACCATTTCTCAGTTCTATGATATACTTTTCGCTAGAGTATGGAATGCTCCCAACGGTATAAAACGTAATGCGACGAAACGTTGCGATGAAACCACCACAAAAAAGAGCAAATCTATCGACTGGTACTGCCACCCTGACAGACTTTTTGCGCCTAACAGCACTATTTTCCAAATGAATTAATTATTTGGCAATTAATTTGCCAAAACAAGATCTTCACAGACAGAAATTCACTGTAAATCTAATACATTTTGATTTTTCAATGATGGTTGTATTATGCAATCATAAATTTATCTAAGCCTCTGGTATTTTCATTTTGCTATTGCCTGCAAACACTAGTGTCCCCTCCTCCTCCTCCTCCTCCTCCTCCTCCTCCACAAATAGCGATGCTGCTGGCGAAAACGTTACGTTTCCTGCAAATTTGCAGATTAAACGCAAAATGCCCACCAACAACTGCCTGGGCCACAGCACCACTCTGCGGAGCGACACATCGGCTCTACGCATCCAGCCCCATCGACATGAGCTTCGAGCTGTTTGAGGGCCAAACCAGCGACTCCAGCCAGGCACCGCTCATCACAATGCACGGCCTGTTCGGCTCCAAGCAGAATTGGCGTGGTATCAGCAAAGCCCTGGCCCAGCGGACCAACAGGAAGGTTAGTGGAGCACGCACCCCACCTAACACCACCCACCAATGCGTGTTGTATCAACTCAAAACGTGAATCTTCCATGTACAGATCTACGCTGTGGATGCCCGGAATCATGGCGAAAGCCCTCACACAACCACCCACAACTCGCCGTCAATGTCGAACGATGTGCGCCGCTTCCTGGAGATGCGATCTTATACAAAAGCCTGCCTGATGGGCCACAGCATGGGCGGTCGCTCAATGATGCTCTTTGCCCACAAGTATGTATGTATGTGTGCGGCATGCCCGCCAGACGAAACCACTAAAAAAAACTTCGGTACACCCAATGCAGCCGGAAATGACGGAACGTCTAATTGTCGTTGACATTTCTCCCATTCGAGTGCCCCGCTCCACTGGCGAAATGCAGCGCATATTCGATGCCATGATTAATCTCTCCCTCTCGCCGGATTTGCCCTTGTCCGAGGGACGAAAGCTGGCCCAGCAGCAGCTGCTGAAGGCCACCGACTCGAGTGAAACTGTGCAGTTTATCATGCTAAATCTGAGGAAGGATCCCCAAACCGGAGCGTAAGTAATGCGTCCACCGCAGCTATATAATATCTTTATCTTTCGTTGTCCTACCTTCAGGTTCTCGTGGGCCTGCAATGCGAAGCTGCTGAGCGAATTCCTGCCACGCTTTCAAGACTACCGATCACACTTTGCGTCCCTGCCACCGTATCGGGGGCCAACCACCTTTATTTGCGGCACTCAGTCGCCATACATGAAGTAAGCTTGTTCGGCTGAACCCATGTTCTACGACTTTTGCCTAATCTATCTCCTCCATCCTACCTTTCCAGACGCGAGGACTGGCCGCAGATTCTGGAAATGTTCCCCAATGCAGAAATCCATTGGCTGAATGCCCACCATCTTGTGCACTTCGAACAGCCGCAGCAGTTCATCTCAATTGTCACCGAATTTCTCAACAGGCCTTTGAGTGCCTCATGAAATTCTCTAGCGATTCAAATTGTACAAAGCAATTTATAAGAAAGAGACACCAAAGCACACAATGTTTTCTTCTTGAAAATCTCCGATCGTTTTACAGGAGTTCAACATAGGAGGACAACAGCATAAAATAGAACGAGATAGCAGTACATTGCAACACGGTGCGCATGATCAATGCACTTAACACCCTGTTGGGATGCTCCGAACATAAGATACCTCCGCCTGTCAGATACTAATTATCTTATAAGCAGCATATCTATAATGAGAGAAAAACAGAACGGCATACAGCAGTATTCCTGATCTCTATTAAGGTCCAATTGCCATTATTTTCGTTAGATGTAGATCAGATCTCTAGGATTCGCATATATTTTTTGATAGTCTCCAAGACTACGCCTTCGGATACGCTTCCTTCTGTCGAATCCCACCATACCTTACCTTATTCAAAAACTATTTGCATCAGCTTTATGGCACATAATTAGAATTCAATTCTATTTAAAGGGGAATCGAACGATTCAGAGACCATGATGAAAGGGAATTTAGAGTGCAGAGATGGATGGGACAAAGTCCAGTCGGACTGAGGGTCGCATCGTTGGCCTAGAGCCTTGACAATTTATTGATAGCATCAGAGCCTCAGCTAAATGCTTCCTAATCGTAATAAATTATGTAATCATGATGGATGAATAGCTTATTTCACAGAACAGCTGTTCCCTCAACTAATCAAAGAATTCCATTCAATTTCTGGTTATTTTTTGTTACATTTAAAATGTAATTTAATTTCTCATCCTTGTTCGGCGTATGATTTTCAGATCAGATTTTCCGTTTTCTCCATAAGTATAGTTCGATTGTATGTTTTTGTTTGTTTGTTTTCGTTTTTTCTTGTTGTTAAAAAATATACATTACACAGACACGAAACGAATGCCATGAAGAAGCTTGGATAGAATCCGTATCCCGTATGCTGCATACAAAAAAATTGACAGCAAGGCAAGTGTTCGAATTTTTTTGCTCTTGTTGTTGTTGTTGTTGTTTTTGGGTTTATCCGTGTTTGTGTAAGCATATAATATATATACGTGTATACGTGTGTATATGTGGGTTTTGTTTTGTTTTTGTGTGTGGTTTTTACTTACAAACTAAGAATAAATACATGTAAATTAGGGGGAAATCACATTGCACTTACAAATAATATAGTCAAAAGGTTAAAAATTATCCATAAATGAACACAGTTCTGCGTGCGAGATGGTGTGGGTGTGGGTGTCGTGTGATGTGTGTTCTTGGAGTGGTGGAGTGTATACAATACATCAAACATCAAACAGGAATGGTGGGTATAAACTTTTGTGCTAAGGCTAAAATGGTTTTGATAATGTCTTCAATTTGATGTGTGTTCAGGTGTGTGTGTGTGTGTGTGTGTGGTATGTGTACATGAGAGGTGTTTTGTGTGTTTGAGTGTGTGAGAGAAAGTCATTGATTTTGTCTCACAGATTTTCTTAGTTATTTCTTTTTTTCATTTTTCTTTGTTTGTTTAGTTATTAGTTTTGCTCTAGTTCTCTCTCTTTGTTCATTTTTTGTATTTTGTGCTTTTGTTTTGCTTGGGGCTTTTGGTTTGTAGTTTGTTTAGACGATAATGCCGCCATCGTAGGCGTAGTCGGCCTTGTTGTGCATGACAAGACGATTCTCCACAAAGTAAAAGCTGTCCGAGCGCGTCTCAAAGGGGCTCGATATCATTTCAGCAACTGCAATCACAGGTAGAGAAAGAGAGAGAGAGAGAGTTAGAAGTGCAGTTCCACGCCCTATAGGTCGGGCCTTCCTCTATGTTGTAGCCTTGACCCACAAACACAGAGAGAAGGGAGAGATTTCAGCTTTTTTTTCTTTTTTTTTGGCAGCAGCCCATTGCTGCGCCTGAACTTATGTATGTAAAGTGGCGCACCACTGCCTACCTAGGTCGGGTGGAAGATTAGGAAACTCGTAGATGTGCTCGCAAGTGTTCTTCGAATACGGAATGCAGTAGCCAAACTCAAAGTCAAAGGTTTTCAGCAGGCGATCACGGAAGAAGTGGCGCTCTATCATCCGAAAATTGTTCACTGGCTGACTGCCCACAGTGAACTCGACCCTGGGGAAGGAACAAAGGTTAGCAGCCATGATAGAGACCTATATGTACATATATATGTATATGGGGAGACACTTACGTGGCGCCCACAGTTTTTAGGTTGAGAAATGCCGGAGTAAACTGATAGCGTACATAGCGTCCGGCATTGGGGTCGGCAGTGTCGTCAAGCGATAGTTCCTCGGCGGCGGCCAGCATTGTCTCCTCCACGGACAGACCGTCCGGAAATTGCTCGCTGGGTGGCTTGGCGATCTCAAAGAGCACGGCACCGCTCTCCAGATCGCGTATTTTGAAGCGTGTAAAGTCTATTTCGAACACATTGGCATTGGCCGAGCAGAGGTAGTCGTCCGTGATCTTGGTGAGGTGCAGCACCTCTTCGGGACTGACGTTGGACTCCTCCTTGCGCTTGCCCTCAGCACCGACTCCGCCAGCATTAGCAGTAGCTCCAGCTCCCATCGGCCCCCCGCTGCTGCCGTTACCATCACCGCTGCCCGGGGCGGAGACGGAGGCGGCCGCCGCAGCAGTGCTGGCAGACGCAGAAGCAGAGGCGGTGCTGGCGGAGGAAGATTGCACTGGATTCAATTGCTTGCCCACGACACTCATGGCTGGACGTGGCTGGATGGATCGACTGTGAGGCTGTGGCTGCGGCTAAGGTCTACTGGGTGGTCTCCTTTTGGTGGAATGGCTGGGGTTTGCTCTGCTCCTGGGGTCGCTCCTACTGTGCGCTCTTTGCTCCGGCGGGGCAACGCTCAAACTGCAGCAGCAACAACAGTCGATTAGAGAGGGGGCGAAAACTGCATTAATTAGTGGACAATTAACCCCTGGCTGCACGCAGGGGTGAGCGAATACTCACCAACACATATACACGCATCGAGAGTTGCCATAACATTTGCCAAAAACAACAACACAAAAACGCGACCCAATTTCTGGAAAAGCTCTGTTCTATGTGCTTGTGTTTGTTTTTCCTTTGCTCTTCCGCGCTGTGTGGGTGTGTGTGTACATGCAAGAGTCGGTGGATATGTGTGTGTGTGGATGTTTTCCTTTCTTTGTGGTGTTGCTGCTGTTGCTTTTGAGTTGCTTCAGATCCTGTTTCTTCGGCTGCCCCGTGGCTGCTGGATTAAGTTTTAACTATTGTGGAGAAACATATCCATTGCATATGATCACATTAAGCTATCTAGTTTTGTTTAAATTCGAGACATTCTCTCCTATTTAATAAAACCAAACTGTTGTCTCCAGTATTATCTAGTATGTGTGAGCAGCAGTGTGACCGTATACAAATAATCACACCATGCAATGAAATACTGAAATCTGAAATCGATAAAATTTTTTTCTCAGCTGTTTTTAGCTCAATTAGCGAATTCAAAAATCAAATATAAAGGCTTTTTCCGTTCGTTTTATACTTTAAGTTAAAGAAACGAAATAAGCGGGATTTGTTTTTTTTTTTGTTTACGAAGTAGAAAAAACTGCAGTAACTTGTGCGGCAAACTAAAGGAGGCTGAGATCCTCTGATGCAGCTGCTCCTGGAGTGGCTAGAATTTACTAGCAGGTTACACGCCACATGCGAATCTCCATGAAAGGGCTCCAGCGTTGAAAAAGAAGTCATCCCATGTTCGTTTCATCACTCCAGAGACAATCTTTGATCTACAGCTAACACCTAATGGTCTTTCCCAGAGGTACACCGGTGAACCTGATGAGAAGTCTTTGATCACGTATGTACATCTCGTCGGTGTGAGATGCCTTGATCCATCCATTCGCGTTTTTGGCTTTAACCTATTGCCGCTCTTTTTCGCGCTGCTTCTGCTCTGACGAAAGATTCTTTTGACCTCTGTGAGCTCTCTTTCGGTCGAGCATGACCTGTTGCTGCTTGAAAAACTGCTTTTTGCGGTCTTTTGGCGTCTGGACGTCCATGATCTCCTCATGCTCACCAATAGGCGGTTCTTTCGGGTTCTTTCGGAAGGGATAAGCTGTTCGAGGCATTTGAACCCTTTCTCTGTGCTAGCGGATTATGAGTAAGTGGAACAAAAGGGGAAAGCGATAGGTGACTGGACCAAAGTATTCGACCAAATTCTCATCCAGTCATCAATGCCCGTCGAGACTTGCACGGATATTCTAGCCGTGGATATTTTATCCTCATTTTTTAAAAATACCGATAAAAACGAATTTAGCCCACTCAATTTAAACAGGTGACCAAGTTGAGTTAATCCGCAGAAATAGCAGATATAAGAACTTATTTTATAGTATTGTTTATATAAAAAGGTTTAAACAAAAAAGATTATAGATGAGTGTGTTACAATGTAGTATGCCGATTCTAACCGATTCAAAAAGAGCAGTTGGACTTTCGATACTATCGACTGGATAATCGCTAGAGCTGCGCGCCAGCGAGGAGGGACAAGGATATTTTCTTTAAAATATTTTCAAAAATTAGATTTAATAGATTGATGAAATACATTTTTAATTTTTTTGCATTTGTCTACAATTATTGGGTGTAATATATTTAACAAGTAAATATTATAAGAATATGTTGCATAGTCCCTACCTTTTGTTACCTCAACCATAAAGTATCGCCAACTCCGATGGCCGATAGTTGAATGCAGCTCTGCGTATGAGCCTGTGGTGGGTGGTCACACTCTTGGCGCGCAGCAACTAGAATTTGAACTTGATTCGTTAAAGTTTAAATGTTTAAGTTTAGAATGAGTATTATCTTATTTCCACAAACCTCCCCCAATATGCTAACAAATATACGAATACACTTAAAACTTTCCATACTAGCGCTTTCTTGTGGTTTCAAAAATTGTAATTAAATTCAAACGCACTCAATGGATCCTGTATATTTGCATGACAATCATTTAAATATATTTCCATTTTCTCATATGTATGTATATAATTTGTATGAGCATATTCCAATGCAATATCCACTGCAGCAACAGCAGCCGGATGCACTTGAAACGAGGCCCATCCCAATTGTGGCTGGCAATTAGTTAATGTCCATGAAGATTACCCGAGTCCCAACACAGGCTTCCCTTTCTTCCCTTCCCTCCCCTGCAGGCCACTCAAGTGTCTCGGGTGAGCGCCAGTCGAGTGGTTGCAGCTATAGGATCTGGTCTTGCTTCTCTTGCTTCTACTGGGTTCAAGAGCCCTATCCCATTTCCAACCCAGACTTAAGGGCGCCAAAGTCTGATCATTTCGATTTGGTCTCCATATGTGTGGGTAGGGTAGACAGACGACTACTTAGTATAATTCTAGTTACTTCTTCTTGCTGTGGGCTGTTGCTGTTTCTGTTCCTTCGGCTGTTGTTGCGCCTTAAGTGGGTATTTTAATATTCACAGCCAGAGACAGAGCCAGAGCCAGAAGAGTGTTAAGTTTCAGAGGCCGCATGCACTTATGCCATGTCCGCCCGCCGTCTGTCCGTCCGCTCGTCCGTTTGTCCGTCTGTCTGTGCCTTTGGTTCCACTGTCCGTTGGTGTCCGCGTTTCCTGTATGGTCTTTGCCTCTGTCCCTCTCTCTTTCTCTCTCTCTCTCTGTCTGTGTCTGTTCTTGTGTGAGTGTGTATCTGTGTGTGCGGCAGTAAGAACGTGTTCAGTTCTATCTTTAGTACAGTTTGACTGCTGCAACCGCACACTGACGAGAGGTATACGATGCCATATCCAACCCAGAGACTTGATTTATCCCCAAACACAAGCTCCAACCCACTGTCTGGACATATCCGCTCCTGAAAATGATGGAATTTGACACATCTTGGAAGGAAAAGAGGAGGAGACAGAGAGACCGAGAGACAGAGAGAGAGAGAGAGAGAGGAAGGGTTTGGGGATTTTGATTGATAATCCTTCTGCTTCGTGGGGAAGGAATGTGGCATGAACAGGGCAGAGCTTAGTTTTGCTAAGGATCAGGTTGCAGCCCCAAATCAAAATTGATTCAGACTTCCAATAGGATTCCGATTTCCAGTTTCAAATTCAATCAACTTTAAGATTGGAATTTTGAGGATCTCTAAGAACACACATTTTAAACTAATTCTATAGTACTCTCATTATCCGTATCCAGGACTCTACAGATAGGACAGGATTTTGTGGTTGAATGAACGAATTAATGATCATCGATATAATGTATTTGATTTGATTGTTGGCCTTACAATTTAAGTTCATAAAAGTACGAGTTCTCCCAAAAAATGTTCCAAAGCCGAAAAGTATTCGGAAAAGCGACATTTTTCGATTGCGGGCTGGGGAAGAAGTGGTGGAGGAGGAGAGGTGCATCCATAGAACTCAAGTACCTCTTGTGCATGGGTGTGTGTGTGAGTGCATGACAGGGTATCGAAAGCAAACAGTAGAATAAAAACAACCGAAATCGTGGGCGATAAAATTCGTACTCGAATCGAAGTCATTGTCACTGGCGGGGTTAGTTTCTCTAGCAAAGGGGGTGTTTTATAATATAATGTTAAAATGCATATGTATACTTATTCATGATCAGAATGAACCGACGACATCCTCCTTGTTGAACTGAATTTGCTTGCATTTACTACGCCTCTGCCTCTGCCTCTGCGAATGCCTACGCCTCCGCCTCTGCCACTGTCCCAACTGGCGATGACGTTATGTGGCGGCTGTGGCGCGCCGGACGGTCTGGCAATGCACACGCTCAAGTCTGTCGCCGTCGTCGTCAGCGGTGGCGGCGATGCACTCACACATGCACACGTGGTACTTGTGTGTCTGTATTGTAACACCTCCCAACCCAACCGTCGCACCGTCGCACCGCCGACGCGTTCGTCAAAAGCGCCAACACCACCAAAAGGAAAGAAGAAGCAGCCGCAGCAGCATATAATCTAAATGGAATTTTTGCTTTTGCTTTGCGCTTTGCTTTTTTCCGAACGATTTCTCAACCTAAGATACCAGGCCCCCCGCTCCCGCCCCCGCAACAAGGCTCCTAACCCCTGGGGTCCACAGAGAGCGCAGTGCGACGCCGACAACGCCAGCTTTGACGCCAACGTAGACGTTTTCTGCTGCTGCCGCTGCTGCGCTGGCCAGCCCATTCCACCGCACCTCGCCACACTCCATGCCTCCCGCTGATGCCCTCGTTTCGACCGCTGTGCTCTCTCGCTCACTCGCTCGCTCGCTCGCTCGCCCTCTGTGTGTGCGCCTGTGTTTGTGTGAGTTTGGATTTTTCTGGCGACAGACTGTCTGGCCTGACTCTGCCGCTGTCGCTGTCGCTGCCAAGTGGTCTGCCTCAGGCGCACCGCACCGCACCTCACCATCGCACGTTTGCTTGCCTTTATATGGTGACTGTATGTATGGATGTATATGCATATGTATGTATTTCTATATGTGCACATACAAACTTTTGCTGCTGCTGTATTTTGTTATTGTTCCTCCTGCTGCATGCATGCATTCGTACATATGTATGTACATTCATACATAGATATATAGATTCGTATGTGCGTATGTCTATGGCCGTGCTGATATGGATTCTCAATGCTGTACATAGATTTTTGTGTGCCAATGTGTGCGCGTGCATTGTAGGTATCCCAAAGCCACGCCACATGCACATACTCGTACTACAGTGATCACTGCCACTGGTAATACAGTGATCACGTGACAAAGCTCACCCCTAACCCTCGACCGTCATCCTTATTTGATGTACGTTTAATGTACACGTAAAAAGTAGTCGTTAGGACAAAGTGTGACGGTTCTGATTTAAGCTGGGGGCTCTCTTCCGCCTCATATGTTTGTACATACGAATGTACATCAACCGTACATCAGAATATAAATAATTTTCTTTGATTAAAGCGTTCGCGGATTCTAGGGATGGTTATAATAGGTAAAATAAGTTAAAATACGAACTCCTTTTTGTTTCCACTGGTTATACGGGACCACGAATTGAAAACTTTTGACATGAACATCAAAAAAGCATCGTAAAATTAACGATCTACTCGATGAAATGGATTTCGATATATGTACATAAAAAACCTTCATTCAGAGTACTAAAAATTTCAGTAAAAAAATATACATACATA